AACACAGGCAGCAAATAATCCACCCCCTCCTCTGGAGCCTCTCAGGTGTCTGCTCCGTGAGAATGGGGGGCCTGCTCCTGGTCCCTGTGTGGGATCCTGTGGCTCTGCCTTTTTCCATTCCTTCTTTCCCATCTGATACTGAATTAATTAATCGGTTCCTGGTGCCCGTGTTCCCCTGGTGCCCGTGTTCCCCTGGTGCCCGTGTTCCCCTGGTGCCCGTGTTCTCCTGAACACTGGAGACACCTTTTTCAGACCTTTGTTAGTCTCTCACTGGGGTGGAACAGAGCAAGGCTAAGCCAAATCTAATAACTCACTGATTTGTTAATGTGGTTTTTGGGAAATGTTAATCATTGGTACTTGACAATTATTGGTAAGTACCATTTTTAGGAATTCCCTTTTTTAAAACTGGAAAGTCACATGAAACTGGGAAACCCCATGGTTTTACAATTCATTACATTTTCACCTGACTGTGGCAGAGAGACCAACTTGTATTTTCAAGCCACTGTGAAGCATCTTGTCCAGTGAGCCTTGTAAAATTCACTATTTGAATAGCAATTCAGTTGTTATTCAGCTTCCTCCCCCTTGGAAGAGGGAGAAGTCATCCAGCAATTCCCAATATTAGCTTGGCCTCAGTCAGGCTGCTCAGCTGCAGTGTGATTTTGTGCTAAAAAAGCTGTACTGTCATGCAGGAAGCCAAAAAAAAGCTGGAAAATAGATAAAGATGGTCATTTGGGACCTAGTGAGGTTTTATGAATGGGATTGCACTTAATGGTGGATAAATTACTGGTTATTACCATTTTTATATATATATACACACCAATATTACACATAATTGATATATTGTATTGGTATTTGTATAATATATACGGTAACTGGTATATATGTAATAATCCATATTAATATAAAATATATTGCCATGTATTAATTATAATAATGGTTAACCTGAAAGGAAAATGCTCCAATCAACCAAACTCACACATTTCTTTAAGGAAGTTCTGCCATGGACTTGCTGGAATATTTCCATAATTGCTTAAAAATGATATCTGGAGATCATGGGACCAAAAAATCCAGATGAAGTTTCTGTAATGGTGATGCATATATTAAGTGAAATTAAAGTTCTTATAGTTTTATTTCATATCCATTGTGATCACGGGTGTCTATGACGTGCTCATGTGGAAAAAGAGCCAAATCCTTATGGTGTGGGATTTTTTACAGCAAAACAGACTTTGGGATACTTGAAGAACTTTACTTTTCTTTTGACTTTTGATGGACAAATAAGGTAAATTTTAATGTGTGATGGTATTGGCTTCATCCTTGGTATTTTATATTTGAACAGGCTTTCTATAGTTTCTTTATGTCTGTTATGCTGTTGAAATAATTGAAATGACTAAAACATGAATTATATATCTGAAATATTAATTATATTAATATAAGGGCCTGCTGACAGTCATCTCATCAAATTAATAGCATAAGATCAAATGCTTTCCAGTCAGTGTAGAAGATTTTACAGGTTTCTTTAATAGACAGATTGTTAAAGCATTACTAATTTTTTAATGTGAGAGTGTTTGACCCTAATTACTGTCCATTGTGGGTTTCACGTGGTGATTCATAATGTAATTTAAAGGGAAAATCCTATAGCAATTACTTAACCAGGAGATAAATCAAACGAGGCAAAGTCATGGAGTCCTTACTTTCTATCTCTCAGACATTTCCTAAGCTGTTTAAAAATAGCAGTGCAGATCCTGACTCTGCTTTTATTGTTGGAAACCTGTGTTCAGCCCCTGGAGGATGCTGTAAGTTGACATGATTATGGATGTTTTGTTAATTAGCTTTAGGGTATATACAGCTATCAGCTGCTAATTGCAGGACCCTCGTTGGCAGCAGTGCTGGAACTCTTAGGTTTATTTTTAAGTGTGCAGGTGGGGTTTTAGGTATTGAATTGTCAATTCAGATTGGTTTGTGCCTGAGGAATCCCTCTGGTCCCTGTGTTCCAGCCTTCCCTGTGCTGTTCCCTCTGAACCTCTCCAGGAGCATCGTGACATTCAGTTGCACTTATTGTAAACAGCCAAAAAGTGCCAGGAAAAGAGGGATATGGAATTATCCCATCTTGTGGGGATGCATGTGGCCATTGGAAATCCTTCCAAGGGTTCCCTGTGCTCTAACGTTGGGATGCTGTGGCAGAGGAATCACAGGAGAGCACTTGTGTAAGGATTAGCCTGGAGCAAGGCTGAGTGTACAAAAACCTCATTTTCCTCAGAAGTGTCCTGAGGAACAAGGACAAATCCTTACATATTGTTGCTTTTAAGTCTGTGGTTCTATTTCAAATATTGGAGCTGGAAAAAAAGAGCAGTTCCCTGGTAGAGTTGTCTCTACATGGAATTGTCAAGGTTGGAAAAGACCTTTAAGATCATCAAGTCCAGATATAGATATATCTCAGGTATAGATAATTCTCTTGTCTTGATTAAACTTGCAAAACATCAGCTTTTGACCCATTAACCATAAAGATTCTTCCTTTTAAAATCAAAATATGAGTAGCAGTGTTCCAGTATCTAAATGGGCTCCAACAGAGCTGGAGAGGGTCTTAGGACAAGACCTGAAGTGACAGGACAAGGAGGAATGGCTTCCCACTGCCAGAGGGCAGGGATAGATGGGATATTGGGAAGAAATCCTTCCCTGTGAGTGTGGGGAGGCCCTGGCACAGGTTGCCCAGAGAAGCTGTGGCTGCCCCTGGATCCCTGGAAGTGTCCAAGGCCAGGTTGGACGAGGCTTGGAGCAACCTGGGCTAGTGGAAGGTGTCCCTGCCCATGGCAGGGGGTGGCACTGGATGGGCTTTATGGTCCCTTCCAACCCAAACCATTCCAGGATTCTGTGATAACAGCAGTAATCAAACTGTTTTTACTTGCATTTTCAGATAATTTTTTTTTTAACATTACCTGGCAAATCAATTGGCAAATGCACAAGCAGGAATAAAAACATCCATGGAAAAGGACACACACTGTTTAATCTGCCTTTGACAACTTTAATGTTTTGAAATACGTTAAGTGAACTTTTCTGTTACTTGCCAGGTTGCTGGTATCTAGCTTTTTGGTCCCCATCCAATAATAAGGATTAAGATTTTGATTAATATAATATAGCTTAGAGCAATATCTTAATCACAGCATGCAGTGTTCCAGCGTATTTTTTCTCTTCATCTGAAGAAGGAAGTTACAAAAGAATAGATTTTCATTTTCTTAACTGAAAATAGCTCAAAATAAACTTTGAAACATGAAAGGGCAGATGATTAAATCTTTGCCTTGGGTTAAAAGCTAATAAAGGCATGGAGGTGAGGGGGTGGCTTGTCAATGCTGAACTACCAAGACTGACTTTTCTAAGTTTAGTTGTTCTCTGCCTTACGTTTAGCCTGATAGGAAGTTAGTAATGGCATCTCTATGCCAGAGGTCTGAGATTTCCATGTGTTTTGGGGTTTTGAATATGGAGAGGAAACCATTTGGGGATTGTACTTATAAGAAAAAATTAGATTTTTATAACATAAGGCGGTTCGTGTAATGACACGAAAAACTGAATGGAGAGGAACGTTTTGCCCAGAACTCTGTTCAGCACTGTGATTTTGTGTAAAAACCCAAGTTTTTGTAGCCAGGTTCAGTCTCTTGGCAGAACAAGTGTGTGTGTTTATTGCCAAAGTGATGCTTGATGTCCAGACTTAGCAGATGAGACCTTGTCACTTCTGACTTGGTGGGTGTTTAGTTTCAAGGGACCTCGATTCCCTTCTTTCTGGCACAACTTTGTGTGGTGGTTGAAAAGAGAGAATGTAGAAGTTGGCTGGTTGCAACATCTGCCAGGGAGAGGTGACTGGGGGTCGATCCCCCTGTTCCCCCGACATTAAAAAGGAGACAAGATCAGCCATAACTCCTTAGGAGGTAACAAGGATTGCTATTTTAAGGCTTCCCACGCTGATCCCCAACTGTAAAGGGCAGCTTGTTCATTATTCAGGGGGCAGTGTGACCAGCAGCAGTTGGCTAATTAAACTCCTTGAGGAGTTCAACTAGAATAAAATTGAATAGAATTTGCCTGGGTATGTATTCCAAACCTCCTGAGTGGTTTCAGAAAGCCCTTTTTTTGGTTGTTTGGTTGTGGTTTTTCCCCCCCCAAAGACAGTTGATTTGATTTGAAATCTGAGCAATGTTTTAGAAAAATCTACCATGAAGGACATCATGAGCCTTGGCCTAATTTGACAGAAAAAAACCCCTCATTGAAGAGAAAAAAACTACAAGCTTTGACTTGTTGGAAAGTGGGTTTTTAGGGCTGCCAGGAATGCATTCCTTTCTCTCAGGGGTGACTATTATTAGACACATCCGATGGGTTCTGTCAATGTGTACTTTTCTCCCCCTGATAATTCTGCTCAGCTGTAGTTGCCATATCTCTGTTTCCAGTCAGTGCTGTGCATGGTTGTTATTTCAATATCCTGTGTAAATAAGGTCTTGGTTCTGTGGTGACCTCCCCAAAGCTGTGGTGGTTGCAGTGGTTTCACATCTGGACAGCTCTCCTGCAGCACACTGATTGCCTCCATCATTCCCAAACCAGCAAAGGTGAAAGAAGATCCAAAACTCTGGATCAAACTGCTTGTTTTCACTGTTTTGTGGAATACTTACTTGTGTGGCACAAGCCAAAGAAATTAAAGGCTAGAAAGAGAGGAAGAAATAAAAACTTTTAAAAACTTGCCTGGCAGTTGTTTGTATGTTCCCAATAAACTTGACTCAGTCCTAGTGCCATTCTGTTTGTGCAAGGCTTTTCTCCTCCTCTATTAAATCCCAATTCCTGTTTCTTTTTGGGAGATTAATATCATTGTATCATTCCTCTTGTTATATTTAAGTAACTTATATAGCTGCACACTTCTCTGTCCTAGACCAGGAGGTGATCTGTGGTTTCCCATAGTTGTACTAACAACTATTACAATCCAAAGTTGAGTTTTCCCTGCCCTGAGCATCTGTTTTGCCCCGCAGTTGACACTCCAGACCCCTACGTGGAGCTGTTCATCCCGACCGCCCCCGACTGCAGGAAGAGAACGAAACATTTCAACAACGACGTGAACCCCGTGTGGAACGAGACCTTTGAGTTCATCCTGGACCCCAACCTGGAGAATGTCCTTGAGGTAAATCCCAGGGCCGAGCTGCAGCTGGGAAGGTGGAAGGGAACAGTGCCTGGAAAGGTGAAACACAGCAGCTTTTGCGTGTGTGGCATCTGTTGTCTCAAGATTCCCCCTTTTTCTTTTAGCCCTGGTTGTGTAAGTTGAATTGTTCAAGGAGTAGCCTTGAGAGTCATTATAAGACATGCCTGTGAGTCACCTCTTGGACTGCTCCTGAGGGATAGTACTTACTATTCCTCACCTCAGCCATCATTTACTCCCTGCTTCCTGCACTGATTCAGCTGTTACAGACAGGGAATAGGTGGGGCTAAAGTCAAGTCTCTGCCCATTCTTTGCTTTTCCCTGAGGAGACAGAAAGCAAAAGTGTGGTTCTGCTGTCTCCTCCATGCCTGGAGCCAAGGGCTGGGAGCCCACCCAGTGCTGTTCTGGGGACCACTCCATGTGCAGGCTTGTTGGTTAAGCCACCGTTTAATCTCGGGGTGTTAAACCTTTCCAGGTTGTGTACAGAAGGGGAGTGTTACATCTAAGTATTTTATAAGTGGGCATGGCAAGCATTTAAGGTTGTCTCTGGTCCTTTGTTAGCTCTGTTCTTCCCGGGGGATGGCCCTGACACGTGCAGTCTTCTGAGCCAGGCTCATGGAGTTCAGTCTCAGTTGGCCAACTGGGGCAGAGCTGTAGCCTGTGAAGGTTTTCCTTGGCCTTGTGACCATCATCTCTTGGGTCTGAAATGGAATTATGCTTCCTACAAACTCCCTGTGTTCTGGGGAGAGGGACAGGCTCCACAATCCCAGTGGAGCATGAAGGACTGCCGTGTACATCCTGCACCAGGGACAGGGAATCTGAGGGGACTCCCAGTGGCTCCACTACAGCTCCGCAGGAAGCAGATCACCCAAAACAGCTGCTACCAGCTGGGTCAGGTGCAACAGTCAGCTGAGAGCATTCTTACCAGATTTTTTTAGTTGTAGAGGTGCAAATTGGCCACAGAAAACTTGAGAAAGGTTTGAAATCTTCTAAGAACAAGTCAGGCAAATAGATAGCAGGAATTAGAAAAGAGTGGAATGATTCTGGCTTCTTCATGAAACAGCCAGGAAGAAAAGAACTTGGGTTCATCTGGCTTTGTTGCAGTATGGGAACTAAAATTGTTTCAATTTCAGTTTTGTGGAATCTGGCAGAATCTCTGGGGCAAAGAATTTTACCCCTCTTTTTGCAGATCTTGTGCTTTTTTGGAGGATCTGCAGGAGCTACAGCTGGCTAAATAATTGATGTGGTCAGTAGCACCTCTCAAGATCTTCAAAAGATGAGCAAAATGGTAAACTGAGGAATAGAAAATAAGAAAATTCCTTGGGTTTACTGGCATTGTATAAAGACTGGGTCAGATTCTGCTCGTAGTCACAGAATCCCAGGATGAGTCAGGTTGGAAGGACCCACAGGGGCTCATCTGGTCCCACCTCCCTGCTCCAGCAGGGCCATCCCAGAGCACACGGCACAGGATTGTGTCCAGAGGGGTCTGGAATATCCCCAGGGAGGAGACTCCAACCCCTCCCTGTGCAGCCTGGTCAGTGCTGGGTCACTGCCCAGCAAAGAAGTTCTTCCTTCTGTCCAGGGGGAACTTCCTGGGCATCAGTTCCTGCCCGTTCCTCCTGTGCCATTGCTGGGCCCCCCGCGCAGAACCTGGGCCATCCTCTACCCCCTCCCTTATCCTCAGGCACCTTCCCCAGTAGTGTTAGAATTTGTTGTGTACAGAATTTTGTTCAAGGGTTTTGAAAGGATAAAATTATTGAAGTCACAAACACAACAAGATTGATTGTAAGTAGAAATTGGAAATGGAACTTGACAATAACTGAAGGCTGTTGCTGGTCAGCAAACAGCAGGTGATACCATGGAATAATGGTTAGTTATGGATCTGCTCATGTGTGGGCAAGACCCTTTGGATTCTGCATGGAGTGCAGTGTCAGAATGCCAATCTGTAAAGCCACCTCCCCACCCAAAGCCTCTTTGTGAATTCCCAAGCTCACGGAGACTCCACAATCATTGTGACTCCATGGATTATTTTAATCTACACCTTTATCCCAAATGCAGTTTTCCCTCTGAAGCTCTTCAAAATCCCGCTGAGAAGTTTCTCCTGCTGGTTTTAAGAGACAGTTGCTCAGAGATTGCAGAGTAAAGTTCTACAAGGAAACAGGATGTAGATGCCATTAAAATAATAAGCTCTGCCCTAAAATACAGTTCATCATTTCAAAGGGTTGCTTGTGGCACATGATGAAGAAGATTCTTTGTAGCTGAGAAGAGGCTGAACCCAGATGTAGCAGCATCAAGTGATTGTATCTTGATTCCTTTTGTTTAATGCAAAAGATATGATCCAAGCCACAAACATATGATATTTTAGAAGATATAATTCCACAAAGTGGAAAAAGCCGTAAGTCAAAGGAGTCTGAAGAACTCATTTAATAGAGACTGAAATGCTTTCTGAATATCTTACTTGAGGGCTGGAAGGCAGCCCCTGGGGAAAAAAACAGACTGCCAGACCTAGATCCACGTGGATTAGAGCAAAAGCATGGGATGGTGTTCTGTGGTATCCACAGACATCTTTGGAGATTATCACATTTTGGAAGGTATGTGCTCTGACATGGAGAGTAGGGAAGAGACTTGAAGGTCTGGCCGGATACAGAGAAAAGCTTTGTGTTTTTTGGAATGCTGCACACTTTGCCAAATCAGTGCTATAAAAATCTTGGTCTGTACACACAAGGCTGGGGTGTAGGAGTTGGATTCAATGATTTTTGTGGGTCCCTTCCAACTTGGCATATTCTGTATGGATTCTATCTAAAAATCTTGGTCTGTACATCCAAGGCCGGGATGTGTGGATTCTGTCTTCAGTGAAAAGTTTGCTTTTTGGTCTATCACACTGAAAACTATGGAAAGTTCTCCATGGGGAAGTTTTACTAACTGGAAATTTGAAGTAATTGTGTGTTTTGTATGTAGAATGTGAAGTTATTATGCCTGCTTAGAAAGATGGTGAGATTTATTGACAGAAAGGTGCTTGGATGAAAAACCCTTTGCAGATAATCCTGGTGTACTCCTCCAGTTGAATACCTTGGAGGTGCCACCTACACTGGACATGAGTTTATTCTGTTTTAAAGAACGTCTGTTGGCACTGGGCATTGACTGGCTTGGGTTAAGCCAATTCCTTTTCCATATAATATTTTTTTTTACTCTTATGGCATTAAAAAGGGATTTATTGGAGTAGAATTGAATACCCAGCTGTCTTTTCTAGGTTACTCTCATGGATGCCAACTACGTTATGGATGAGACTCTCGGCACATCCACATTTCCCATCTCTTCTCTGAAACTGGGAGAAAAAAAGGAGGTCCAGTTGACTTTCAATGATGTAAGTTGGGACATTCATGACTTGGCCTTTGTTGGGGCAGCTCTGAACAGGGTGGGAGGTTCTTCAAAGAGCACCTGAACTGTTGTGTAGACCAGGATGTAGAACGGTTTTGTTGGAGTGTAAGGAAAACCCTTGGCCTGCTCTTGATGTTCAGTCCTGGATGGAAGGAGACCCAGGGCTGTTTCTGTTCCCATCAGTCTCCCTCAGTACTATGTATTTATGTTCTTTCTTAATACCCAGCTATTTTACAAATTCCAGAAGGGATTAGGATATCTTGTGGGGTAAGGATGGCAGCCTTTCCGTCAGTAAATAGCTGAATATTTGGGGGCACACAGAGGCATCTCAGATGAGGGATGTTCTCTGCATACCCTGCTCTGAAGCTGAAAGGTCTGAAGTTTTCTAAGCATTCACTGTCACCCTGAAGGCACTGTATTTATCTTCTTACAGCCCTGCTGAGGGAAGAATTGAGGAAAGCAATGCTACTGTTTTGTGTATCCCTGCTGAGAGAATCTTCTTTAAAAGTCTAATTTGAAACTTTCTCTTGCTGAACCAGTTCCTTCTCCACTTGATGCAGTTTAGTTTTGTGGCCTTAGTGTAAGAGGTTACTCAGGGTTTGCTGGTCAGTGCATTGCCCCTCCTGCTCATGCCTGTGGCTTCCACAAAGCTGTCAGGAATTCTTTCATTATTACATGTTTCACTTTCTGTGAGTGGCTTGTTGTAACACAGACCTGGTTAACACGCAGAAGTGCAGTAATTGGATTATTCTCTTTAAACATGTCTGCAAACCAGATGGAATCACTTCAACAGGGATTGTCTGCCTGCACAGTAAGTCCTGGAAATTGTTGTCAAATCTGTTTGGAATTGAGCTTGTTCTGCATGTATTAAAATCATGGAATGGTTTGGGTTGGAAGGAACCTTAAAGCTCATCCAGTTCCAACCCATGCCTTTCAAATGCTGTCTGCATTTCTCTTTTGGGCTGAGGTTTATTACATGAACATGATCAGAGGTCTTGATTTGTGACTGCTCTGCTTTCTCCCGTGTGACATAACTTTAAAAGTGTGCTTACAGCAAATAACTGGTTTAAGGCTTACTTATTGGAAACCAGAGAGTTTCATATAGAAGATTTAGCATTTAATTTGGCTTAGCCTGAGGGTGGTTGGAATTTTGATGCCCTTCTTCTTTTTTCTTTTTAAAATTGCTGCATTGTTGGAAGTTTCTGCATATTTATATAACTAAATGCTTCAGTAACTCTTGGACTTGCAGAGTGTGGGCCGAGTGCAGGCCCTGGTTCTGCCAGGCATGAGGTGAGGTGGTGGGAAAGAGCTGATGAATGCATTTTGAAGGCACAGTTTACAAAGCTCATTCCAGTAATACAAGGCCTTCCCACGTTACACGTCGGCTTTAACTTCTCATCAACATTCAGCAAAGCTTGGTAGAGAGTTTTAGGGGGAAAAATCAGTGTAAAAAAAGCCAAATACATTCTGAAATTTATAAACAAATAGTAAGGGAACATGAAGTCAGGTTGAGCCTGATGGAGACAATGAATACATAACATGTATTCCTGAGATTTCTGTGGCAGTCTGTATAAGCTATAGAAAATGGTATGATATTCCCTATTGGAATGTTTCCCTCCAAGGGTTTGTTTCATACATATTTTTTAAGCATTGGATCACTGTGTGGTTCCTCAAGTGCTTTCTAACTTAGTAATGTCAGGTGGGGGGAATAATGTAATTGTTACCCTGCCTTTGAAGTGATTCCTAAATGACTCTTCACTCTGTTCCTTCATGTCCTCCCTTTGTTATCCCTTTGCCTCTTCTTTCTCCCACCTCCCTGTTCATTTGCAATTCCGGTTTCAGGTTGTTCCTGGCCCTTGGGCAGGTACTGGGATGTGGGAGCCAGAGGCAACTTTGCACTCCAGACCCTTCCCTGCTCTGAATGCCCTGCAGATGTTCAGTCTGGGGGGTTCTAGCTCTGTTCCTGGTGGTCACGTGCCACAAACAAGGAGGAATAATCCATGTAGAGCTGGAGGAGAGTGAAAATAGGCACTGAGTCTGTTACTACAAGGCTGCACCGAGGTGGCTGCTGCGTAAGAAGCTGCTCAGAGAGGAGAAAATGCCTCTCCATTCTGTCTTAGTTCGAGCAGCTCCTACTCTTGGATTGTGCCTGACATGCTTCAATAATAATTTTTTTAACCTTTTGCCTACAGGCAACCCCTTGAAGGGCTCTGTGAAAGGCAGAGCAGACCAAGCCATAGCTTGTGGTTTGCAAGTGAAATCATGATGTAGCGACACTTCCTGCATCTTTCAGAAACTTGTATGCAACGTGTCTGATGGATAAATAAAGCATATTTGACTGTGGAAAGGCACTTGGTGGCTCGTGTGGAACACAGAGCCCTCACAGGTCTGGGTTTCAGACCCAGGCTGAGTATGAAGTTTGCTCAGAACTGGGAAACCAGTGGCAGGAGAAGCGAAGAATCACAAGTGGGTGAAGAGAATTAGATCCCTTCAGGCCAAAGATGAATAGCTCTGCCAGGGATTATCAATGGAAGAAAGCCAAGGCAGTGAGATCTGATGAATGGAAGTCAGCACCTGAGCAACATTTTCCACTGGATGCAGTGCTAGTGGTGTGTTTTGGAAACACATTGTTGTGCTTTAACACAAAAACATCCACAGGAAAGAAACTCATTCATGTATGTCAGAAATATCCTCCCTTTAAAAAAAGTGATTTAAAGGAATATTCTGATGGCAATAGATTATGTTCCAGGTGTGTTTGTGTTTTTTTAACTCTTAAGTGGGGTAACTGTATTTAAATCTTTTTTGTTTAGGTCACAGAAATGACTTTGGAATTGTCTCTTGAAGTATGGTGAGTATCTCCTATTTAAAAAAAGTGGGAAATGTGTCAGCAGCACTTTTTTTTATTTTTTTATTTTAATCTGTTCATTAGAATTTTCAGAGAATCCTGGAGTATCCAGAATTGGAGGGGACCCACAGAATCATCAAAGTCTAACTCCTGGTCCTCCACAGGACAACCCCAAGAATCCCACAAATGCCTGGTGTGATTTGCTTAAAAACATGTTAGAGAGAGGGCAAAACCTCCTTGTTTTAGCATACAAATACCAAGTAAAAGTGAGGAGATTTTAAACCAGGTTTATTTTCACATTGTAATTCTGTCATTGGCTAAACACCATTATTTGGAATAACAAGTGTGACCCTTCCAAATGTTTACAGGTCCAAGGCCATCCTGTGTGAATCTCTCACACTGGTTTCTGTTAAATGCCTTCCTTCTCAAGGGCTTTTTCCTCTCATAAACCCACAGACCTCAGGTTCAGCTTTATCCTCATTGTTTTACCTTCCTTGGGAACTTTACATCCCACATGAACTTTCATATGGCTGCTCCTTACAGACCTGCCCCTAAATTGTATTTAAATGTTAATACCACACGGTGCTGAAGGCAAAGGTGAAGATTTAGGGCCAGGATTTCACCACATGTAAGGCTCAGCAGATGCCTACCTTTATTTTTCCCTTTTTTTCCCCCTCTCCAACTGTCTTTCTCCCTCTTTCTTCACCCATCCTGGTGAAAGATCAAAAATCACATTGAGGCATAATCAGAAAAATGTATTTTAAGTCTAAAAATTAATTTCTGAGAGCAAGGCATTTAAAGAATCATTTTTTATGTGTAACTATAAATAGCAGCACTGAGCACTGTAAGCATTGCCCTCTTTCCTAATGACTCTGGAGACTGACAAACATCCCCCAGGGATAATTTCTGCTCGTTGGTTTGTACTGGGAAAGATGCAGCTGTGGGTGGGCCTTGAGACCACCCCTAAACCATCCAGGCTTTGAACATTACAAGTATTTCTTATCTCTGACATTAAATAAGCAGAAGATGCTTGGTTCCATTTGCTCTTAGGCTTTGGAATATGTTAAACTAAAGGGTCTGATCCAGTTCTGCTGCTATTCTGATATGCGTGGAGACTGTGGAGTCAGTGTCATATATATCTTTGTGGAATGTTGCTTCTAGGCAGCCTTTTTCCCTCTTTTTCTTAATCCCATGACTTTTTTTATGTAAGTTTTTTAGAAGTCTGACGAATCTGAGCCTAAATGGATCCATTTCACTGTTGTATGTTTTTCATAAAGCACTGGGCAAATGCTGCCTGGTACCTAATGTGTCAGAGTAGGCACAGCAAGCGTTTTTAGCTTGTCTTACTAAATAGGAAAGCTAATAATAAAGTTAATAGGACTAATAATTAGCTTAGTAAATAGGAGTAAATCAGGGTCTGCAGCTTCCTCCTGAGGGGGAGATCCGATCTCTGCTCTGTGTGACAGCAACAGGACCCAGGGAAGGGCTGGAGCTGTGCCAGGGCAGGGTCAGGTTGGATCTCAGGGAAAGATTCTTCCCCAGAGGGTGGTTGGCACTGCCCAGGCTCCCCAGGGCAGTGGGCACAGCCCCAAGGCTGCCAGAGCTCCAGGAGGGTTTGGACAACGCTCTGAGGGACAGGGTGGGATTGTTGGGGTGTCTGTGCAGGGCCAGGAGTTGGACTGGATGGTCCTTGTGGGTCCTTTCCAGCTCAGGATATTCTGTGCTTTCATGATTACAAGGATGGGAAGTTCAGTGAGGTGGATAGCAGGAGGGGTTTATACCCTCTCCTCTGCTGGGAGGTGACTGGGTTCAAACCCTTGGAGTGGCACAGGCTCAGTGAGGAGTTAACTGGTCCAAATGGGGTGTCAGACCGTTCGTCCTGCCTTGATACCTGAAATGAGAAGTGGGAGCTGAAGTTGCAGCTTTATTTAAATACAACATTGAGGGCTTTACACAGCCTTGTGTACATGTTTGAGAGCACAGTGTGGAAAAAGCTGGGGAAAAGGGCTGAGTTTTTCCTGTGGCCTGCCAGTACAATTTGTGCTGTAGATTATAATTGTATATGAGTGATGAATTCACTTGCTGTATTTATTTGTTTTTTAATGAGTTCTATATAAAATTCATATTTTAAAGACACAGTATTCCATTGTACTTTGCATCTGTCACTCCATGGAAACATCTGAGCATGAACAGTATAATTATTGCACGAATAATATAATTTATTTCATCTTATTAAATTTGATAAGGAATTTCTGCCTACTTCCACTCATTGCCCAGAGTGATACTTTGAATTCTTTTCTGGCATTATGCCTTTTGTTAAAGCCTGTCTCTTTTGCAAACCAGCTCTTCCACAGATCTCCGGTTCAGCATGGCCCTGTGTGATGAGGAGAAGAAATTTCGGCAGCAGAGGAGAGATAACATCATGCACAGCATCAAATCATTCCTAGGAGAGGAAAACAGCAAGAACTTGACCACTGCCCGTGATGTAAGTCTGGAGAGTTCACACCAAGTTTAGTGTCACCTTTGGAATGCTGCATTTGCCTTTCAGAGGAGTGACTGAGGTGTGTGAGGTGGAAGGGTTTGATGTGAAAACAAGTTATAGAAGTGGAAAAACCTCTTTTTCTTCTATGAACATGCAATATTTAGGCTGGACAGTAATATTTTCTTGGCTCTAAATTTATAGATTAATGTTTAAGGACAAGGGGGAATAGTTTTAAACTAAAAAAGGAGACTTAGATGGGATATTGGGAAGAAATCCTTCCCTGTGAGGGTGGGGAGGCCCTGGCCCGGGTTGCCCAGAGAAGCTGTGGCTGCCCCTGGATCCCTGGAAGTGTCCAAGGCCAGGTTGGATGGGGCTTGGAGCAACCTGGGCTAGTGGAAGGTGTCCCTGCCCATGGCAGGGGGTGGCACTGGATGGGCTTTGAGGTCCTTCCCACCCGAACCATTCTGAGATTCTGTGATTCATTTGCACTGGCACCTTAAACAAGCTGCTCTAACTTTTCCCCTTGGAATTCCATGCTTCGTGAAGGTGTTGGCTCTGAGGGGAGATTGCCATCTGCAGAATGCCTCGAGGGTGTGTGAAATATCTGCTGCTCCAGAAGCCTGGGATGGCTGTGGGCACTCAACCAAGGCAGAATCTGCCCCTGCATGCTTAGTACCCAGCCTGTGCTGTATGACCTTCATATTAAAAGATTAGGCAGGAAATGAGCTGGTTTAATTTTAGAATCACCTTAGAAATTATTTTATTCTCTTTCTTTCTTTCTTCTTTTCCTTTAGCCCATTTTATTGGATTAGGATTGTGAACTTTATTTCCTTGATAAGATGAACTGCAGCTTTAACGAGAGCACACTGGTGCTCTGTACCAAGCCAAGAGGAAATGAAGCCAACGGCTCCTGATGTACTGATGGTGGCTTGGGTCACACATTAGAGACTTAGAGAATCCCAGAATAGTTTGGGTTGGAAGGGACTTTAAAGCCCATCTCCTTCCACCCCCTACCATGGGCAAGGACACCTTCCACTAGCCCAGGTTGCTCCAACCTGGCCTTGGACACTTCCAGGGATCCAGGGGCAGCCACAGCTTCTCTGGGCAACCTGTGCCAGGGCCTCGCATCACAGTGAGGGGGAGGCTGCCAGCCCCTGCTGATGTCTTCAGTGATTTTATAAAACACTGCATTATTTAGAGTTAATTAAGCAGACACCTGGTACAGATCCACTGATTTTGTAGCACCTTTTCCATCCTCCTCTTTCTTCCTTGCTCTGCTCCCAGAATTGTGATGGAAACACTGTGTGTATGTGGGGCATGTCAAGCAATGAGCAGAGTCCGTGAATTAATTTGGGTTGACTAATTCATTGCCATTGATTCCTTTTGTGCATTTTGTGCAGAATGTTGACAGTCTCTTGCAGCTGACACTGAAGAATTCCTTTTAAATTTCTATGAAGTTTTGACCAGGTGGTAAATGTTTTATTGTTGTATACTTTTGAACTGCCAACTCTACCTTGCTTTTTAAAACGGTCCTTGTGTGAGCTTTCTGAGGAAGATGAAAGAATTTAACAAGTATTGGACATATTTTATTTGTAGTGAGATAAATTGTATTGTGAAGGAACATTTTCAAGATTTCTTAATTTTCACTTCAGTTATTTTTATCTTAACACATCCAGATCTTACCAGAGTAGGTATTTGTCAATGTGACACTGGTCTATTCTATAGCAGAATAGTCCCTTTCTCAGAAAGAATGTGGATATTCTGCCAGGATCCAGTTAGAACTGGAGTGATACTCGGGGCCTCAGGTGAGGTGTGTGAATTACTGTAAAGGCCAAGTAAGATTTCATGTTCTTTTTGTCCTCATCTTCCCTTGGTATCCCTCACTGCCTCAAATACTGAAGTTTTATCAGTTAAATTGCATCTTTCCAGGCAGTAATTGTAGGTTTATCAACCCCAGGAAGGACTGAGGCAGTGGGATCCTCCCATTTTTCAAATGCCAAGCCTGTATTTCTAAGCTGACATGTCATAATTTTTAGCTGCTTCTAGCAATTAAAAAACTTCTTTTTGTTCAAATTTAACTGTAGTTGTACTGTTATTGCTACAGGTGGAAGATAGCAGGAGGATTTATAGGATGTTTGGAGTCTTAACATGAAGTCAGGAGACATATTGAGTAGTCTCAACTGTCTGTGAGTCTTGGTGAATCTTAAACAAGTCACTTACTCAAAGTTCACCCAAGTTGCTTCCTCAGTGAGTAGCTCCATGTGTGCCTTGCAGGGATGCTGAGTGACTTCAGTACCTCTTAATTAATTAGACATCCCTGGATGGGGAAGTGACTAGTTCCAGATTTCCCTCCTTAATCCTGCGGCACATTCTGCAAACACAGAGGAGGAGATTTCTTGTACCTGTGTTATTGCTCAGTTTATTTTTATAATTTTTCTTGCTTTGAGCAGTTTTCTGAAGATACTGTAATCATTTAAAGAAATCATACAGCTCTCTGTGGCTGGATTTGCAGAACAATTTTTTAATAATCATTTCTATGCCCTATGGCATTTTCTTTCCACCACAGGCATTCAGACTTTGTGCACTGTGTTTCCGGGGCATTTGAATAAAAACATCTGCATCACTCATTCCCAAAAACGAGATTTAATATGGCTCAGCTTTTTTGCTCCATTACTGGAAGATAAGATTGAGATGCCTTTTTCAGGGCTTGCTTTTCTTAAAACAGAAGTTGTTTCCCAATCCTTGCCATTTTGCTGCCCAGTTTGGTGGTGGAGCAGTCAGCACCCGAGATGAGGTGCCTGTTGATTGAAGTGGAGCTGTACAACGGCCTGGAGTGATAAAGCTGAAGGAGGGCAGGGTTAGATGGGATATTGGGAAGGAATTCTTGGCTGTGAGGGTGGGGAGGCCCTGGCACAGGTTGGGCAGAGAAGCTCTGGCTGCTCCTGGATCCCTGGAATTGTCCAAGGCCAGGTTGGATGGGGCTTGGAGCAACCTGGGCTAGTGGAAGGTGTCCCTGCCCGTGGCAGGGGTGGCACTGGATGAGCTTTCAGGTCCCTCTCAAGCCAAACCATTCCATGATTTGATGTTCTATGTATGGTGTTCAGCCAGTCCACACAGTACATTGTCCCCTGGATTCTAAAACAGTACAGATGTATTGACAAAACATTGTGTTGTTAAAATGTTCAGTGGAGTGTGTTTGGAGGATATCTGAGCTGCTTTGCTCAGAACTAGTTGTGTCCCTCAGCACTGTGCTGTGCAGGCCAGCTGTAGGTGGTTCTGGTGGTTCCCAAATGGGCACAGCCATGGAGGGTGGTGGTGTGGCCAGGGATTAGAGCATTGGGCTTTTGTCTCCAAGACTTTTGGATTCAATTCCCTTTTTTGCTGTTGACTCATGGCATCACTTTCACATGAGTCACTTACCCTTTTGGTTTGAATTTACTAATGTGCTGGAATGGATTTAGTGCCTCTGCCCCAGTTTCACTGGTTCTGTACAAAGGACTTGGGGTTCAGGGCATGTCTGTGGAGGAGTGTGGGTGCCTTGGTATCCTCTCTTTTCTCCCTTCTTCAGTTGTGAGGTGGCTTCTTGGTTCTTTGCGCCATGTGCTCTGGCTGCAACCACTTCCCCCTGCCTCTGCCCTATTTGTCCTAGAGGGCAACTTGTAGGATTGGTGTGTTTGATTTCAAATTTTACCATTTCATGCCCTTAAACATGTTGGAAACTGAATTGGAGCTAAAAAGCTGCCTTAACAAAGCTGCCTGTTTCCTCTGCAAAGCAGGAAAGGACTCTGAACCTTCATCACTTGACTTATGCTGTAAGTCAACTTTATTCAGTGGGCTGAAATAAATGAATTAAATGTGCAGGAGATGCTTCTCTTCAGTTATTTGTTTTCCTCACTTAAAAGTTTTATTTACTGTGCAAAGCCCAGGGGTACTGGGGGGCTCAGCCTGGAGCAAAGGAGACTCAGGGGGGACCTTCTGGCTCTGCAACCCCCTGACAGGAGGGGGGAGCCGGGGGGGGGGTCGAGCTCTGCTCCCAGGGAACAAGGGACAGGAGGAGAGGGAACGGCCTCCAGCTGTGCCAGGGGAGAGTCAGGTTGGATATTGGGAAAATTTCTTGCTGGAAAAGAGTGGTGAGGCCTTGGCAGGGGCTGCCCAGGGAGGTGGTGGAGTCCCCATCCCTGGAAGTGTTCAAAAACCACACGGCACTTGAGGACATGGTTTGGTGGTGAACGTGGTGGTGGTGCTGGGCTGACAGTTGGACGTGATGATCTTAGAGGTCTTTTCCTACCTTAACAATTCTGTGACGGTTCTTTGATCCACGTCCCCCTCGGTATCTCCACCCTCCCCAGTGGTGCCCAGAATTCCTATGGATCCGGCTTACAGGAAGTGTTTGCAGTCAGGATGTTGGTGACTCTCCTCACCCACCGTTCATTGCTCATCTCCATAACGGATTTCTCTGCATCCTGAAGAACACTCAGACTTTCCTTTGTGCCTGTGCCTCTTCACCCACGAGCAGAGTGGTGGAGCAGTGGTGCTTTGGAAGTGCTCTCACATACCTTTTCCAGGCTTGCACCTGCAAACCAACATCTCCATCCTGTTGGGATGTGTCTGGTCAGGTTGAGTGGGCAGTGGTTGTAAAGAGCTTTCAGAGCCTAAGGTATATTATTAAAGGTGTGATTACTGACTCTACTTCTCTGTTCAAAGCAGCTGTTCCACTATTGGGGTGTTGGCTTAACAAAACAGGCACATCTAAATCCTTACCTGTGCTTTGTCATTTTTTAGATAGATATCTATCTCTGGAGCTTCATGATGAGTGCTGGTGCCAGGGAATACCTGTGGTTTCTATTACTAACACTTATGAGGGTGATCAAATAATATTACTGCATCAAGAATAAGCAGTTTTGGGGGAATGGGAGCCTCTCAGCTTCCTTAGTTGTTGTTCATGGTCATGTCCTTGTGACAGTGTGTTGTCAGTCCCCAGGGAGTGCCGTGGCTTGGAGTGTGGAGTCTGGAGAAAGGGCCAGAACTCAGGAGTCACATGGATCTGTTCTTATAACTAATCCCATCTATTGGCACCTTAAATTGCCTTTCAGGGAGATTTTTGACAGATTACCAGTTTGATCAGATAGGGCCTTTCTGCCCAGCTGTGCAATTCTTTTAATGCTTAGTAACCACCAAGAGGTTGTTACTTTATTACCACTGAAGACTGGAAAATTCTTCTGGGTTTTGGAAACCGGGAACCAGATGGGCCCCATGCTTAGGCCAAAACACATGATAGTGGTAGCAAGTGAATTTTTGTCTGATTTTGCTTCTTTTTAGATACTCGGGGAAACTGTGCAGTGGAAGGGAACAGCCTTGAAGTCAGGCTGGGAAGTAAGAAGGAAAGAAGTAGAAAATAAACCCCTGTAGATACATTTTTAATATGATGTCGCCATGTCTACTTGTCTCTCTCCTGGTAGCTGAGGAGTTGTACAGATCCACATAAATTCCTTTTACTTCTGGTAGTTTTTTGCAAGGTAGTGGTAAATTTGAGACTGTCTTCATGCTATGTAGTAATATCAGATGTTTTTATTACAAAATGTCTTTTTAAACTCCTAGCCAAAATAATATTTGTCTCTCTTCTGTTTCTGATTAGTAACTTTTACTGCTTTTGGTTCTGTCACAAAGATATGAATTGGGTTAAAGCTGGTGTTAGAATTGCTTTAAAAGTGATTGTGGTCTTGTAACCAGATAGTTTATTTAATAACTAAATTTAATATCTTCTCTATTTTGGATTATGGATAAGGAAGACAGACATTCTAAAGAAATTCTAACTATGTTTTGGTTTAGAAATCTTGCTACAAGTGGTGACTTCTTCAAATAAATTCTAATTCTTCAGATACCAGGCAATTAGAGTTGTAAGTAAAAGGGCATTGTGGGGGCAATGCTGAGACCTGATGTGGTTATTCACTCAATTTGTAGGTAGCATTTTAAGGTCTGAAGCAGTGCCTCAAATCTTTACAAGTGAACTGAACTTGAAATTCTCTATGTTTTGGCAGCAGACAGGAAGCTAAGGAGGGTCAGAATGACAGTGTTTGGCTCTCACCACGTATTTTACTCCTTGACCAGAAGAATCAGACATTACCTCTGTGTGCCCGTAAGGAACCTAAATAGGAGGAGTCTGAACAGGGGGATTTCCCCTTTCAGCAGGTGATTAAAATCCCTCTTGTGAGGACCACAGGCAGATTGGGAGGCAACTTCTGGTTTTCAGAGAAAACCACTTCATCCCACAGTCTGAATCTGACTGGCACAAATCCCTCATGATATTGTCTTTCTGACCATGACCCAGATATTCCCCAAAAGAAGTGTCTCTGGTCACATCCTGATGTCTGAAATCTTCCTCATTAAATTAAGCAAATCTCTTCATGAAGGTGTTCTTCACTTTGGTCGAGTGGATTCTTTATTTTCTCATGGACCACCTTCATCAGCAAACTAGGGTTTGTGGTCAGGAAGCCCAGGGTCTCACTGGTGTCACCACTTGAGCCTGACAGCATCTGCTCGAGCTGTTGCTCTTCCAGAAAGATCAAGTCCTCAGGCTGCAGCCTTGGGCACCTGTGCCCCCCCTTCTTTCTCCAAGAGGGGTAAAGCCCCTCTCATCTGCTCAGGATCTCCCCTGCTTGTGTTTGCACCTCCTGGGTACTGCTGGTACAAGATAAGGAGGGAGCTGGAAGGAAGTCTGCTCTGCCCCTCTCGGACTTTTCCAGCTTGGCAGAACCCCCCATGCTGCTGGCTGGTTCCTGGCTCCCCTTGCTCGGGGTCAGCAGAGCTCTCATCCCATACTTCAGTCCAAGAGTGCTCCTGTCATCCAGCAATTTGGGAAGAAGGGGCTGTGAGTTAATGACATACAGATTCATGGTGTGGCCTCCCATCAGGGGCTGGGTGCACTTCTGGGTGCCACAGTGTAGGAAAGATTTAAAGGTGTTGGGGAGTGTCCAGCGAAGGGACACTGAGATGGTGAAGGGTCTGGAGGGGCCATAGGAGGAGCAGATGAGGGCACTTGGCTTCTTCAGCTGGAGAAGAAGAGACTGAGGGCGGAGCTCACCAGGGGCTGCAACTCCTCCCGAGGGGCAGCTCCGATCTGCTCTGGGGGACCAGGGACAGCACCCAGGGAAGGGCTGGAGCTGTGCCAGGGCAGGGTCAGGTTGGATCTCAGGGAAAGGTTCTTCCCCCAGAGGGTGGTTGGCACTGCCCAGGCTCCCCAGGGCAGTGGGCACAGCCCCAAGGCTGCCAGAGCTCCAGGAGGGTTTGGACAACACTCTCAGGGACAGGGTGGGATTGTTGGGGTGTCTGTGCAGGGCCAGGAGCTGGACTTGATGATCCCTGTGTGTCCCTTCCAGCTCAGGACATTCTGTGAATCGGTGGCATATAATGTTTATTTACCACTTGTAAGTATTTATAGGAAGTGCTGTGGTGACACCCTGTTCCTCTCCTCTCTGCAGGTCCCAGTCATAGCCATCCTGGGCTCGGGAGGTGGATTTCGTGCCATGGTGGGGTTTGCTGGAGTCATGAAAGCACTTTATGAATCTGGAGTTTTGGACTGTGCCACTTACGTTGCTGGGCTCTCTGGATCCACCTGGTAAGGGCTTTGTCTTTTGGTTTGCTTCAGGTTTTCTTCAGGAGGTTCAAGAGTGAATTTTCATGAGGGTTGACTTATTTCTGTGGTTAAAATCAACAGCGAATTTTAAACATGCACTGTCAGTGTGGAAAAGAGATAGAGAGACAGCTCTCTTGCAGCAGAGTGGGGCAGTGGGGCAAGTCACTGACAGAGAGTAGGTTTAGATTGGATGTTGGGAAGGAATTCCTGGCTGTGAGGGTGGGGAGGCCCTGGCACAGGTTGCCCAGAGAAGCTGTGGCTGCCCCTGGATCCCTGGAAGTGTCCAAGGCCAGGTTGGACGGGGCTTGGAGCAACCTGGGCTAGTGGAAGGTGTCCCTGCCCATGGCAGGGGGTAAAGTAAGATGATCTTTAAAGTCCTTTCCAACTCAACCCAAATTGGGATTCTCTGAAGTATGGAGGTGTTTCAGAATGCCTCAAAGGCTGAGGACATCTCAGGATCCAGGTGATCTTCCTAAGAGCTTTGAGAGCAGGAATGGATGGAAAGAGGTGCCACACACACACCCCTCCATTTCTGTGTCAACCCCCAATATTGCACGTACCAGGACTGTGGAACCGATTCATTCATCTCCATAACCAAAAAATTAGGAATTCAAGCTGTTGGAACAAACCCAAAGCATATTTTGTGTGTTGCTTTATTTTCCTGATGAAATGTGTGAAAAAAATCCCTTATGATTTGAAGCTGATGACTCAATCAATCCAATATGGATTGTATACTTCAGGAGGGCTTTTCAGAGCTTCTCTGAAAGATCTTTTACTCCATTTCAGACCTAATAGTCCCCTTCTTAGTGGATTTACTGGGAATGCCTAGGACCTGACTGCCATACTTCAGAGCATCCCATTATGGATTGCTTTGTCTCACTCCCATTGTCACTGTTTAATTTAGAAATTACATTGGTTTTTAGTCAGATGGGAGTGAAGATCTTCCCAGATGCCTCAATCAGGCTGTCCTAATGAGGTAGGTATGATGTCCCTGTGTCTGACTCAGGGAGTGCTGCAGCTCAGTTACAGGAATAACATCCACAGGGGAAGATCAGAGTGATGTCAGTGTGTGAAAGGGGCCTGCAGGCAGCAAAATGCTTTGAACCCCAGAATCCTGTTTGCCTCAACCACTAATGACTGAGAAGGTTTCTCTTCTCCCTGCCCAATGCTATGAACCTGTTGCCTTTCACCGTCTTGGCTCTTGCAAAAACGATCCCAAATTACACCTATTACAAGCATCTTATTACAAACATTGAAACTATTTGTTTGGACGTTTCTGAGCTGAAATGATGTAACATATTTTAAAGGTGTGTCATTTTCATCAGCCAAAGACATCTGACAAATTCAGTTTCAACTCCTTACCATCACAGTTTTTTCATTCAGTGAAAAATGGCAGACTTCTTTTTGTCTAGCTGTAAAATTAATGCCACTGGACCAGTTTGCAGTAGAGGATTTTGCATCCTAAGAAAATTTTGAACTTCTTAAGGCAAAAATATGTGTCAAACGTGTCCCAAATGTCACAAAATGGGATTTTATCGTAACTGTACCAGTCTGAAAACTGGAGCTGCATCTCAATCCAGTTTAGGGCCACCTAGTACAAGAAAGGTATTGAAAAACTGGATTAATTCCATTAGAGTACCACTGAGGCAATTAGGGGACTAGAGCATGTGAGGAAGTGGGGCAGCTGGATTAAAGGCAAAGGTAGTGATGGGGGAAATCTCACTGTTGTCTTCAGCTTCCTGATGAGCTGTGAAGAAGAGAAACTCTTTTTGGAGACACGGAGAAAGGACAAGGAGTAATTTGATGAACATTAGGAAATCCATTTTGCAGTGAGAGTGTCCAAGCACTGGAATGTGTTGACCCATCCTGACTTGACTAGGCTGGGTTTGGTGTCAGCCTCTCTCTGTCTGACTCAGGGGATGCTCATACAAGAGCAGAACTTGACTGAACAGAGCCCTGAGCAACCTGAGCTGACTTAAGTTGGCTCTGGAGTGAGCAGGAGGTTGGAGTAGAGACCTCGAGGGTCCTGCCAGTCTAAATTGTAAATTTATGTGAATGTGTCTTTTCTTTGAGAGGAAAAGACTTTTTTGTTGGAATAGCCTAGTATAAGTGAACAGGGAATCTTCCTGGGATGAGTTTTATCCCCTGGTTTAACACTAAGGAAGCACCTGAATTTTGGTTCCACACATCTTAACCTCAAGAGTTACTAACTTCTTTGAAACAGGTAATGACCAGTCCTATTCCTTGTGTGGGGTTTTTTGTCAGTTATTTTCCACTGTTTGGAGGTTGCTTCCCCAATTCCAGACTAGATGGAAGCTTTCAGAATGCCAGGAGGTCTTGAAATGCCAGGAGTGTCTATGAACTAGAGTAACTTTCTCATTCAGATTGGACCATAAAAGGTTGGCATCCCTGAATCTGAGTTTTCTATCACTAGTGGTGGGGGCAGATTTATCACTGTCCATTGAGAGGCCTGGATGTGCTTTGTTCAGAGTTGTAAAAAGAAGAAGACATCATTTGGCTGGATGAAGAGCAGTGGAGTATGAGAAACATGGACTGTGTTTGTAGGGAAGGGTTTGTAGTCCACACTCTGAACAGACGTCAGCCTGCTGGCTCTGAGGTCTCTTTTTGGGAAAACCCAGTTGGGAAGACGTATCTGATCTAATGTAAACCTATAAAATCTGTGTTAAAATAGATTATCTGAACTGCTTCAGTCAGAAACAGATATTGGAAACTGTTGTATTTGAACAAATTTGCTTTTGCTGTCTGATGTCACCTCTTCAGCCTTTCCTTGCTTGATGAATAAATAAATTGACACTTGGACACTCCCTTTCTTTCCTTTTTTTTTTTTTTTCCATCCAGTCTAGTACTTGGGACTAATGCTCTTTTCTTTTCTTTCCTGAAGGGTGGAGAATTCCTTTCCTGGCAGGAGAGGCAGGTTTTTCCTTGTCCCCTCAGCTGCATGCCTAACCTTGGAGCAATGCACTGACCTCCCTGGGTGTTTCTGCCATCTCTCTTCAACCTTGTGCTGATTCTCCATCCTGCACTTCCCTTTCCCTGCTCCAATGGAAGCTGCTGCTGTTGTTGCACCCAGGAGCTGACGTGCATGCTCAGCTTTGGTGCCTGGGCCAGAACCATGAGTCAAGTTCTTGCATCACACGTGGGACAGATAAACTGCTGGGCAGTGACCTCAGGGCCAGGCTGGCTCTGTGTGTCTGAGCTGTGCCTGCGGTATGGGATGTGTACCTGAGCCAGGTCACTGAGTAAATAATAGTAAATCAGCCTCTGGGAGATTAGGACAGCCTATCTTGAGCCTTGGTGTTGCTTAATCCAAGCAGGTGAAAGCCACGGTTTCCTGCACGTGTGGCTAAACTTTGTTTTTGAGTAAACTGAACTTGTTTCTCAGTAACACATCAAGATTTGCCTGATAGGTCTCTTCTGAATCCTCCCAGTCGATTAACTCTCTGCATGGGTTGTACTTACTGTGCTTCAGCTTGTTCTGGAAGCATCCAGATCCTGGAAAGCAGTGCAGTATTGCAGCCCTGAATGCCTTCAGGTCCTGGGCTGATCCCCCAGCGTGGGCAGCAGGGCAGGGGGGGATTCTGCCCCTCTGCCCCACTCAGCTGAGACCCCCCTGCAGAGCTGCTCCAGCCCTGGGGAACAGCACAGCAAGGACATGGAGCTGCTGGAGAGAGTCCAGAGGAGGCACCAAGATGAGCAGAGGATGGAGCAGCTCTGCTGGGAGGAAAGGGGAGAGAGCTGGGATTGTTCAGGCTGGAGAGGAGAAGCTTTGGGGTGACCTGATTGTGGCCTTGCAGGACCTGAAGGAGCTACAATGAACATGGAGAGAGACTATGGACAAGGGATAGAGTGACAGGACGAGGGGGAATGGCTTCCCACTGCCAGAGGGCAGGGTTAGATGGGATATTGGGAAGGAATTCTTCCTTGTGAGGGTGGGGAGGCCCTGGCACAGGTTGCCCAGAGAAGCTGTGGCTGCCCCTGGATCCCTGGAAGTGTCCAAGGCCAGGCTGGACGGGGCTTGGAGCAACCTGGGCTAGTGGAAGATGTCCCTGCCTGTGGCAGGGGGTGGGACTGGATGGGCTTTAAGGTCCCTTCCAACCGAAACCATTCCAGGATTCTGTGATATACTGAGATATTGTAGGAATTTTTGGATAGTGGTAGTGAACTGGAGAGGGACATCTTACAGTGAAAGAACTGTGTGTGTCTACTTCTAGGACCTCCAGTCTGCCAAATTTAGGTGTGCTGACTTGAGGAGCTCCTTCTTCAGCTTAGGGGGATTCTTTCTGTTATCCCTTAAACAGATAAATGAGGACACTTTAGTCATTTCCATCATACACATATGGAAATGTATGCTGAGTGTTAGATTGTATGCTTACATGTAGAACAAATAGTTTAGTTTTCTATGCCTGAAGAAAAAAGAAAGGACAATTTACTGTATAAATGGTGAGTAAATTAACCTGATTTGATCAGTAATTGTATCAAATTATTTATGAGTTTATTGTAGCTTTCAGGCAACTGCCACTGAAGCAGGTTTGATACTTGACCTGTTTTCCATTGCAGGTACATGTCAACTTTGTATTCACACCCAGACTTTCCAGCAAAGGGCCCAAAAGAGATCAATGAAGAACTGATGAACTCTGTGAGCCACAACCCCCTCCTGCTGCTCACTCCTCAGAAAGTCAAACGCTACATCGAAGCCCTGTGGAATAAGAAGAGTTCAGGGCAGCCTGTCACCTTCACAGATATCTTTGGAATGCTGATAGGGGAAACACTTATCCACGATGTGAGTTCTGGGCTTTTCTTATCACTATTAGAGTTGTGAAATTATTGCATAGTAACCACTGTTACTACTTTTTTTTAAATGACCTTGGTAACATTTGGCAAAATGTGTTTAACAATAGAAATATTTGAAGTTATAGCTGGACAGATACTGGATAAGACACTTGTAAAATGCTTTCCTTGCTCTGGGGGATGAACTCAACCTCTGGGTACTTACAGCAAACTCTTGACATTGTGTATCAACATTAGAATTCCTGCTCAAACCATTTCAACAAAATTTATGGTGTGATGTGACCTCTTCGTGCACAGTTTGCTATAAAAAAAGCAGCATTTGCTTAACAAAGTACTAATTTCAAGGTGAACGATCCACATCTCTATCTATTTTTATGTGTTTTTCTGAGAAAAGAGACAACAGGAGAGCTTCATACTGTTGTATTTTATTATTCAACAATCCTGCTTGGGTCAGTTAGGGTTGGACAATCCTGGCTAAATCAGGCACACATTTGAACTGCAAGTTCAAATGTGTCAGGTGAGCAGCAATTGGATTTGATCTTCTGGCAAGATTGAAATGTATAAATGGAGTCACAGGTGTGTTTTATACACTTGTCTTTCGTGAATGTAAATTGTTATTAGGCTTTAAACACTTAAAATACTGAAAAACAGGCAACACAGCTCTTAGTAACAGATATATAGAATTCTGATGCTGAAGGGATCTTGATGATGGTGTGAGGTTGGTTAGAAGTCCCTGTTTACTAAGGGATTAAATAAAACCCCAGATGTTGCTTTGTCCAGCAATTCTGTTTGCTTTTTGGCCATGTTATTTTGGCTTCTGTAATGTGTCCTTCTTTCATCTTCTTCCTGTGTCCTCTCCCACTCTTTCCTTCCTGAATTGTGCAGCTAAAAGGTATTCAGGCAAATCATTTCCTTGTACCAATTCTTCTGTTTTTTGTAGAAGTAACTCAGTTTGTCCATTTTCCTTCTGAAATTTCAGAGAAAGGAGGAGTCTCCCAAGTCTTTATATAAATGTAAAAATAGAAATATATAATATATAAATATATAATATATAAATATATAATATATAAATATATAATATATAAATATATAATTTATAAATGTATAATTTATAAATATATTTTAGATCATATATAAATATATAATTTATAAATATATTTTAGATCATATATAAATATATAATTTATAAATGTATAATATATAAATATATTTTAGATCATATATAAATATATAATATATATCTTACATATTATATATTTTATATATTTATATAGAATACTTATAAACATATATAATATAATTATATTTATAAATAGGCTATATTTATAGATATATTACATTTATACACTGATATATCCCTATATAAATATCAGCAGGCCTTTATAGGATCTGTTTGGAACTGATCTCTTTCTTTCCTGCAGAGAATGGACACCACTTTGAGCAACATGAAAGAGAAAACCAATAATGCCCAGTGTGCTCTGCCACTCTTTACGTGTCTCCATGTGAAACCAGACGTGTCAGAGCTGATGTTTGCAGGTATGGCTCCAATCTGGGTGTTGAGTCACTTGTGGGAAGAAGAGAGAAGTGTGTGGATCACAAAAAAAAGCCTCTTTTTTAAAGGAAGGACATGGAGCTGCTGGAGAGAGTCCAAAGGAGGCACCAAGATGAGCAGAGGATGGAGCAGCTCTGCTGGGAGGAAAGGGGAGGGAGTTGGGATTGTTCAGGTTGGAGAGGAGAAGCTTTGGGGTGACCTGATTGTGGCCTTGCAGGACCTGAAGGGGATCCAAGAAAGATGGAGAGAGACTGTTGACAAGGGATGGAGTGACAGGACAAGGGGGAATGGCTTCACACTGCCAGAGGGCAGGGAGAGATGGGATATTGGGAAGGAATTGTTCCCTGGGAGGGTGGGGAGGCCCTGGCCCAGGTTGCCCAGAGAAGCTGTGGCTGCCCCTGGATCCCTGGAAGTGTCCAAGGCCAGGTTGGATGGGGTTTGGAGCAACCTGGGCTGGTGGAAGGTGTCCCTGCCCATGGCAGGGGGTGGCACTGGATGAGCTTTAAGGTCCCTTCAAACCAAGCCATTCTGTGGTTCGGGATCACTTACTTGGATAGGTGGTTTTTTCCTGGATTGGTGCAGTATTTGCACCAAGGTTACAGGGCTGTGGAGAACAGGCATCAAATGGATGTGTTCCTTGTGGCACACCATGGAACTGAACCTTTTCTTGCTTTCAAGATGCATCTTTTCTTGTAGGTGTAGAGAAAACACCCTGTATTTTGGGTCCACAGCCTTTCATTTCTCTATCATTCTTGGATTTGGAGGCTTATTCTTAGACCATTTTGGAACCATTGCTTTTTTAACCTGAAAATAAGTCTGACACCGTAACAGCCCTGAGAAGTGGGAAGTGGTGGCCAGGTTTTGTTCTCTATATGTTAAAAAAGTGATTTCCTAGCAGTTGCAAAGAATATTCCTTCCCCTTGAAGGAACTGAGCATTGGAGTCAGGATAAAAAGGAATCTGGTGTCTCCAGCAGGGAAAAACTGCTTAACATTAATGTATCACAAACCTAAAGGGAAATGTCTTCAGTCATACAGGATTATTCCCCTTTCTAAGAAGGGTGAAAGTAACACTTAGACTTGATGATCCTAGAGGTCTTTCCCAACCTGAATGATTCTGTGATTGAAATGGAACAAACAATTTAGATATATTGCCTGTTTTTTGCCTCTTGCCCAGTGTCAACTGCTGTTGGTGATGCAGGAGGGGCTTTTGCTCCTATTTAATCCATAGGTTTTAATCCCATCTAGAAACCTCAGTTGAGAGTGGGTCCAGTTGTGCAAGATGCTACACAAAGGATGTGTCTGTCTACATATAATTCTATACAGGACTGAGAAGGGAAATACCAAGTGCTTTGCCCAAGGTTTATAAGTCATTGTGTTCCCTAAAATGGTTATTAGGAACAGTTGCTCTCAAAGCTTTGGTTGGAATGGAAAATGAGGTGTAAATTAGGCTAAATTTGTCATGGGAAAATGTCTTTAACTTTCCCTACTTAAGAAACTGATACCTTTTTGTTGGAAAACAGAAGTATATGGAGTTTTAGATGAGCTTCTGTTTTTCTGCATTACTTATTTACTGCTTTAAAAACATCTTTAGTTAATAATGACTTTGTCTAAGCAAGACCAGAAGCACCTGAAGGCCTTACTTTGGTCTTGAAAAGGTGTTGCCTCTGCCAGTGGATCTTGGGTTTGGTTTTTTGGGCTGTCATCAATATCATTCTATAGGGTGCTGGATTTTATTGTTTCTATTTTAGGCTTTTTTTCCCCCCCTCTTATAGAACTGAACAGTTTTTCCTGATGTGAAAGATACAGTAAGTTTTGAACAGAAATATTTATTTTACACTTCTTTATTTACTTGATTATGGTTGGAGGCAAGACCTTCCATGTTGAAATGTGTTAATTATATCAGATAACAAGATCTCCTGTTTCCCTCACCAAGAGCATTTGTGACCCCATGTGGTGTGGCCTGCCCAGAACTGCACTAACCATTTTAACTGAACATAATTAGAGTAATTTAGTTAAAGACAGCTCTCTGTTTTAATTGTGACAGCTTCTGTAATGATAAAAAAATTACCTGAGGATACTGGTATCCAGGGTTAAAGAGGGAGTGGAATTTAATGTTTGGCTTGGGTTTGGGGGGGGTTTGTTCTTGACAGTCATTACAGTAAATTTATGTCTCTGAGAGTGAGTCTGTTGCTCTCTAAGTGCTACAGAATTAATTTGGGAAGCCTTGAGGGATAAATTCCAGGTTTCAGAGGGACCTTCCAGTCTCTGTTAGTGGCCACTGTCTCAAGGAGCTTCTGGAATGGCAGAAAGTAATGCTGAAGCCCTTTAATTTTAAGGCAGAGACTTTATTTCCCTAAGCAGGATGTGGGATCTCAGAAATTCTCTTCAAGCTGAAGGTGGACTCTCAAAGATTAAATTAATTCTAATTCTCCATTCAGCTTTGTCGCCCCCTGGTTCTGAATATCTAAATATTGGCCAATTCATGTTTATCCAGCTAAAGGGAAGCACTGTGACATTCCTGCACTGGGTCTTCAAAGGAATTCCCTTCTGCTCCAGCCAGTGTGAAGATTTGTGAGTGGTTTATTTGGAAAACACTGTGTTGTGTTTGACTTAGCATTGATGAGCATTGCCCTGTGAAACGAAACTCGCTGCAATTGGGATTAAATCTTTCCTTTTCAGGACAAGTGTTCACCTTACGTTCAGTAGGAATATCCTGAGGGATGGATGGCATTCCATGACGTGGGGGGATTTTTCAAAGCTGTCTCTTTTGCCTTTCTATTGCAGAATTATTTCTGAGTTTTTCACACGAGCAGTCAAATCAATCACTGCTGAAAACAGGGAAGGGAAAATGGAAAAATTTGGTGAAAGACTAAAAATGTAGGATAAATTTGGGTTGTTGTTTGCTTTTTGAAATGAATTCTGTGATGTGACTGTACTGGTATCAAAGAAAGTATTTCCAAGTCAGCTGAAATCCATTTTCAAAGAAAGCCTACATCAGTAGAACATAAATCACTTCTGAAATTTTCTGCCAAGATCAGAAATGCATTGAACATGAAATATTCCATATTTTTCTTGAGCTCTGTTCAATAAAAAAGGATTTTAAAAATATTTTTGGCAGTGTTAGAATTTATAAGTTTATCAGCTGCCTCTCAGCTTTGCCTTTGCATTTTAGATTTCACCATAAAATTTAGGTTTGGGTGGAATCCAAATACCTCTCCTAGAATATTTCCCAACTTCTGTGATACTCAATCATTTTTCTGCCACTTTTATCCCTGCTTTTCGCATTTTTGATAGAGTCACATTGAAAGAAAAGAAACTTGGACCTCAGACCCACATTACACTCGATGTGGCAGGGAATTATGGTGAGGCATGAGATGGAAACCAGATGTCATTGTGTTTTTCTCAGTCATGATCACTCCTTTAATGCTTCTGGTTTTACAGCCTCATTTTTTTTTCACCAGGTTTATTGTGATAACAGAAAATGAGACTGAGAATTCCTTCCCTGTTGAGACATCACTGTCCTTCATTTGAAATCAACATTTTGGCTTCTTCAAAGCCTTCCTGTTGGTTATTTAGCTTCTCAGTTCACTACAGTTTCTTTGCTTGCACAGAGGTTTCATTCATTTCTGTGTTTTCCTTCTCATTTCTGTTCAGGTTGAGATCGCTGACTAAGCCCAATTTTGTTTCTGATTTTGCAGACTGGGTGGAATTCAGTCCCTATGAGATTGGCATGGCCAAATATGGCACTTTTATGTCTCCTGATTTGTTTGGCAGCAAGTTTTTTATGGGGACAGTGGTGAAGAAGTACGATGAAAATCCCTTGCATTTCCTCATGGGTGAGTATGTGACAGAAAGAGGCTTAAAAATAAAAATAATTTCAGTAGTTCGTGGACAAGGGCTTTTAAATGCAGTCACACAAAGTGTGAGACAAGAAGTATAGTTCTCAGTTTGTCAGAAGAGATTAATTGGAAAGATTTCACAGACATGGATTGGCATTTCTTGTTTTGTTTCTGGTTTGGACATCTGAGCATGTTCCAAAATCAGAGGTATGTTCAGAGAGCAACCAACTGCTTAAATAGATTATTAAAATATGTGGGGTTTTTTACCTTCTACTGACCTCCATTCATTATTTATTTCCCTCTTCCAGGTGTTTGGGGCAGTGCGTTTTCCATATTATTTAACAGAGTGCTTGGTGTCTCCAACTCTCAGAATAAAGGTCCCACCATGGAAGAAGAATTAGGTAATATTAGTAAATAATTCTGCTGTGCAAAGCAATTACTGCCAGGATTCAGTGCACTCTCCCTCTGTGGGAGGATGGCACTGCTAGGAGTCATTTAATTAATTACCTTTAATTGCTGACCTTGCAAGATGCTGCAGAGGTAGGGAAGGAGGGTTAGGAGTGTTCTTTTCTTCCTTGCACTTTTGTTTCTGCTCAGTGATGCTGCATTACATACATATATCCAGCTCTCCACAGGAAGTTCATAGAACTCCTCTTTTTATGTTGTTATGCTGATTTTTGGGGATCAGAAGCTGACAAGGACTTAATAGCCACTTATGTAATCTCTTGACACTGCACTGTTTAATCAAGGGATTAGTAAAATAGTCCTAAATTTTATCATCTCTGGATTGTTAATGTTCCGTTCTACCCACAACCTTCTGGTATCTGACTTAATGATTTTGGTTTCATTCCACACACAAATGGTATGATGACTGTAAGGAAAGAATTTTAGCTTGGTTTAGATGGACTTTATTGTGTTTTATTCAAGAATGTAGTTAATGGTGAAAGGTTTTTACACTTCTGTTTCCCATTCAGAGCGCAGCATTACAAGGAAGTACCTGGCCAATAAATAAATTGTACTTGACAGCCAGATTTTTCTGAAGAGCAAGAAAAGAAAGTGGATATTGAGATGATTTATAAAAAAAACCAAACCAAAAAACCAACCCAACAAAAAGCCCACACTTGTCCCTTAGTTGTCTCTGTCTCCTAATTGATGGAATTCAGCTGTTTGATAACCTCCTTATTTATGGATGAAAATGAGACCTCTGGGTTCCTATTTCTGATACACTCCATGAGAGTTAACACCTGCTCATGGAGGATCCCTGTCCATAAATGTGATCGTGGAAAAGTGTGTTCCTGCTTTTTAAAGCTATTGAGAGGCAGAATGTTGTCTGTCATCTCTGACTCATTTCACATCTCAGTTTAAAAATACCCTCTGAAGTGGGATCAGCTGTGAAAATATTAATGTGGCTTCAACCCCAGAGCTGAAGATGTCCCAGTGACACCTTGGGACCACCAAAGTGAAGGCCAAAATTCCAGGGGACATCAGAAGAGCTGGTGCTGCCCACAGGATGATGTGTAAATCACACCTGGGAGGGTAAACAATGAATTTTCCATGGGGGTTGCTGTAAAGAGATGATTTGATATCCAAAAAATGCATTTGTTGGCTTTGTTAGCCTCCATTTCTGGTCAGGAATTTTTGTTTTGACCTGTCTCCTCTGCCATGGCTCAGGAATTTTTAGGTGTCTGTCCATTGAGAGTGTTTGAATAGTCATTGAGGACCCACTGAGTACTGAAAAGTAAAACTACTGAAGGAAAAATGTAATGACTCAGCTTTTGTGATTTTTGTGGGGATTTTTGGAGTGTGGGATGTAAATCTAAGGGGGCATAACCCTCGTTAGAAAATAATTTTAAGTGCTGATCATCTGTATCTAGTATTCATTCCCAAGCATAATGAAGCTGTGGGTTTATACACTTGATATTACAGTGACTCTGTCTTCAATTTTCTCTGCCAGCTTAGAGGAGTTAAATTTAGACTTAGCAAAAAAGTGCAAAGTGTAATTATCATTGCTTTAATACTGCACTGGGTAGAAATTACAACCTGTATTGAATTTGCAGCCCAAAGAATGGGAATGCCAGCAGCATCTACTTATCCTTCTGTGAGAGAAAAAAAGCGTTATTTTATTTTATTTTCATTTTTAATGGAAAAAATCAAGTAGTTGATAATACTTTCATTGGGAAACAACCCACATTCAGTTTATTTTAACTGGCCTCAAGGGGTTGGACTTAATGATCTTGGAGTTCTTCTCCAACCTTAATGATTCTGTGACATTTCTATTAGAGATGATTCCTAACATACATTTTACTAGGGAATAAAGGGGTTTAGTGTTCAAAAGTCTTCCTCTGGATACATTTCCCTCACTGGAATTCATTGCCTGGCTCCAGTCGCTGTAGGATAAAAGCTTCCAAGATGAGGCTGCTCCTAAAACATTGGGAATCTACTGTATTTCAAGAAAGGCTGCCCTCCATAGTTGATGAAAATTATAATATTGCCAATCTAAAATCCATTCTCACCTGATTTCACCTCCCCTACAAAGCTGACCTGGGGAGTGGAATGTGCTGCTGTTTCAGTGTTCATTTTGCCTTTGAAAAACAAAGATTAACCTCCCGAAATGCAGATTTTTGCCAGGGAAGTTCACTCATTTTTGGCTTCATTTCTCTCACTTGATGTTCTGAGATGCAAACCATATTTTCTACCTGTTTAACTGCACTGTCTTTATTTTTCACACACACTCCAACAAAACTTGCGTAAATATTTTGGCTTTTGTTCTCCCACTATTTTTAAGGGTACCCATTCATATGTGTATGATGTTAATGATGTTAAGCATTCCTCTTTTTTTAAAAAAAGAAGCAGATACTTAACAGAGATTAATGTTTTCTTCCTAGTTCACTAGGAATTACTGAGAGGACAGAAGCTAAACATCTAAATTTTAACCACGAGGAATGAAGTGTGTCAGACATGTGGTGCAGAGGGGTACTGCTTTAGGATTACATTTTGTTTTCTCAGCCCCCAAAATTGGAGGCTAAAGCCAATATCTGCTGCTCTAATGTCCACAGCAGATCCAGTCTTTTCAGCTGTATTTTCTATTGCAAAGAGTGGGCCAGTTTTATGACTCAGATTGCTGTGAAATTCTGAGCTGTTTTGAGAGTTAAAGCCCAGCAGTTTAAAGGAATTTTATATTTCTTTTAACAGAAAATATCAGGCTCAAGCACCTTGTAAGCAATGACAGCTCAGACAGTGAAGATGAATCACAGCATCCAAAAGGTAAGGAAATGCTCAGTTTTCATTTCCCAATTGCCTTTTTTTCCGCAGCTTTTGTGTAGCTCAGCAAAAGAGAGAAATGAAGAACAGGAGAGCAGGAGGTCCTTGGCTTGACTTCCTCCTGCTCAAGCTCCTCATCGGGCGATTCTCTCACACGTCTTCAGTCCTGAAACCCCAGCAGGGCTTCCCAGAGCTCTGGAGTTCCACATCCACCCCAAAATGTGGTTTGCTGAGCCAGTGAGCTCCAGAGGTGTGTTCCCAGCAGGCAGCTGAGCTCAGAGCCACGTTGGAATTGTCACCAGCCCAGCAAACTGAAACTTTCCATTGGGATCAAATACTCACCTGAGAATGGTTTAATTTGTGGTTCCAGCATTCACAGGTGTCTTCTAGCACCTGTAGAAATGACATCTGATACAGGAAATTCCCTGAGCTTGGCTCACTCTTTGTAACAGTGCCCAAATCCAGCTTCCCAGGAGAGGCACAACCACAAAGGGAGTGTTGGGAGTGGGAAGAAAAGATCCAATTGAAAATTATCTTGAAGCATCTAAACCACCTGGGGATTTCTGTGGTTTTAGTCAGGGGCTCAGTCTCAGCCCAATAATGCTTTCTGATGATGTTTTTGGGGCCAACAATGATTTTCAACTGAAAAAACCCCTGGTTATAATTTTAACAACCAAAACAAAGATGGGAATGCAGCTGTTTGTGATTTCAGGATCTACAGGAAGAAAAGAAAATCCTGTGTCATGAGACAGGGAATTATGTCACTACCTCAGTTCCATGATTACTTCTTCAATTCCCCCTATGTGTAAAATAGTAGGTGGTACCACATTTTGTTTATTTGTGGGTTTCCTGTTTAATCATTACAGCCAGCACCAAACACTCCATTTCCCTCATAGTTTGTAGCCATAGTGAACTACCTACAAATCTGTGATTGCAAACACTTGGCAGTCCCTCTCACTTCCATAGAATGCTGTACAGATACTGAACCTCTACACTTTATGGTGCTTGTTTTCTCCCTACTAATATAAAAAAATCAGCTTCATTAAGGCCTGGTTTAAAGAGGCACATTTAAAAGCTGGATTTAAAGTATCAAGCTTGAGCCTGAATTATCTTATACAAAACACCCCAAAAAGTTAAATTTTGACAGTTTATGAATGCAAGGTGGTGCCAATCCAGGTAATTTTTACTGCGAGCTCTAGCTGCAGACATCAAAGTCTGATTGCTTCATTGTGCTCTTCAGTTAATTAAAACCAGATATGAATTGTAGTCTGCAGTTTACTGCAAGTGTATTTTCAGATATTTTAGAATTTCCATGCTAATTATTTTTATTTTTAATTATTTTAGCATTTCCATTCATTCTTTCATGCCTTCTGAAGGAAAAATGGGTTTCTAGGTATCAGCAAAGGATGGAGAAGGCTGTTGATGCACATCCAGAAGAATTTAGGTCTACATAGAGCACAGATTTTGGCAACTCAGGTCTGTCTGTCCCTGAGCCCAGGAGAGTTGCATTCTGAGTGCTAACATCCAGGACAGGTCATCTAAGACATTCCCAGTGTATTTTCCTGAGGGACACATCCACACTATTACACTGCAGGTGAACAGTCGAGGGTGGATTGTCTCCGTTCCTCTGCAATGGTTGCAGCAAAGCTCCCTCCCTGAGCCCACAGCTCGCTGAAAGGATGCTGTGACGTCGTTTTTCTAGGTCCTTTGCTTTAGCAGCCCCAGCAGCATTGTGTTCACCCTGGCTGTGGTGTTGTCCTTGCCCCTGCAGGCACCGGGAGCGCCGAGGCCCGGCCGGAGCAGCAGGAGAGCAGCCAGGAGAGCTGGGTGCAGCGCATGCTCATGGCCCTGGTGGGGGACAGTGCCCTCTTCAACACCCGGGAGGGCCGTGCTGGCAAGGTGCACAACTTCATGCTGGGGCTGAACCTCAACAGCTGCTACCCCCTGTCCCCCCTGGCAGAGCTGCTCACCCAGGAGTCCGTGGAGGAGGACGAGCTCGATGCAGCCGTTGCAGGTGAGTTCACAGACAGTGCTGGGTGTTCGTGAGGAAAACCAGACTTGGCGACTTCCCAGTGTGGCCCCGTCACACCAGGAGGTTTATAAAAGCGTGTACCTGGGAGCAGGAGAATGTTCCTGTGAGGACTGTGGGGTGACTGGAGGGCTCAAAGGGCACCATGCAGTGACTTGTGTCTGCTGCCTCCCTCCCCTGTCCCCAGCCAGTACCTTCTGGAGGGACAATGGCTCTCTGGAAAGAATTGCTGGCAGAGGTGACCAAATTGCCTTTGTGTAGGGTGCCCTTCGTTACATCCACTTTCTCAGTCTCTTGGCCGCCTCCAAAAGGTGTCCTGTGTTGTTCCATGTCTTTTATTGATGAAAATAAAACCTGTCCTTATTCTCCTACAGGGCTTCCCTGTTGCCAAAATTTTGTAGCTCATCTGCTGTATCTGTCTTCTGAAAAATCTCTGGAGGCAACACACTGCTGCACTTGTAGAATCATAAAATCCCCTGAGCTGGAAGGGACCCACAGGACCATCCAGTCCCACTCCTGGCCCTGCACAGACACCCCAACAATCCCACCCATCCCTGAGAGCTCCTGGAGCTCTGGCAGCCTTGGGGTCATGCCCACTGCCCTGGGGAGCCTGGTCAGTGCCCAACCACCCTCTGGGGGAAGAACCTCTTCCTGAGATCCAACTTAAACCTCCCCTGACACAGCCTGTAGATCCTTGCTTTGCTGACACCATGTTCTTCCCAGTGTGGATGCACCTGACCAGCCACTCACAGTTCAGTGTGGGTGATGTGCAGATGCATCCACGTTTCATGTTGGCTTAAGCAGGAATGCAGATGGAAGAGAAGAATTTCAGAAAAATATTAATTTGCCATAGGAGTTCAAAGTCTTCCCCCACTTCATGGGTTATGTGGTGTTTGGGACAGTAGCTGTGAAGAATTAGGGATCGTGTTTGATTTGGATTTTGAAGCTTTGCTGTACAGTGTTCATTACAACCTTCTCAGTGACAATCAGTTCGTTTCCTAGTATTCTTCTGATGCTGTTGTGTTCACTGGAGGTGTTCAGGGCCAGGTTGGGCTAGTGGAAGGTGTCCCTACCCATGGCTGGGGGTGGAATGAGATGATCTTTAAGGTCCCTTCCAACTCAAACCATTCCATGACCGTGTCCATCAAACTGAGGAACTGCAGCTCTCTGAAGGTGGTGTTCCTTCCCTGCTGTAGCACCACAGCTCTCCCAGTCATCCCCAGTAACAATAGTCATCACTTCAGCCCTTATTTTCTGCTCAGAGATTGTCCCAACTGCTCCGTCTGCAGCAGTAAATTCCAGATGTCATTTACGAGCTCAAGTGGCAGCCGCGCTCTGATGTGTATTTGTTAATGTAACAAATCCCTCGGAGTGGCTGGATAGTAATTTCCATCTGGACTCCACTTTCTAAATATTTTTATCATCTCAGAGATGTTTACAACTGGATAGTCTTAATATTTACAGTAGTTGTAAAAGAGGCAGGAAAGCGGGTGGGAAATTTTATGGTTGGAAAAAATGACAGTGGATGAGAATTTTGCATAATTAAGACGTGGAATCAACTATCGACTTCCTGGGGTTTAATTTCAATGGAAATAAAATTCTGGGTTGACAAAACAAGCCTGCACCTCTGAGACAATTACTTTGGAGGGCCTGAAACTTCTTGGGGTTAAAATGCGTGGGAAAAGTTTCACATAACAGTGGTTGTTTTAGTGTCAGCTGAAGCCCACGCTCAGAAACCTGAAGAAACAAATCTGACAGCTACAAGTAGTTGCAATATTATAGTCAAGAATAGTTAAAAACCCCTTGAAGCTTCAGCAGTTAATGTAAAATTTAATCATTCAGTAGTGTGAAAAGTGTATCTGCACTTTATTGCTGTGAATTTTCCTTGCAAGTGCTGAGGAGCCCAGAGGAGCAGATAGAAAGGAAATAGATAGATAGAAAGGAAACTTTGGTGTAAATTTAAAATACTTCTATTACCAAGGCACTGAATGCATTTAAGCTTTGCATATTTATTTTACCACTGGCAGTTTACCTGTCAGCTTGAGTACAGAGAGAAGTCTGTAATGCTTTAGGGGCTGGCTTTCCTTTATTACCAGACATTCCAAAGGAGAAATAAGTGACTCAAAAAGGATATAAATAATACTTTACGTCTCCAGTTGTGCCAGACCTTCCTAGAGGATGAACTGTGGCTGGCCTAAGCTGATGTTACAGTCATTCCTGAGACTGAATTTAGGGGCTGCAGTGCCTGCAGCAGAAATCCCAGCTGCTTGGTCTGGAAGTAAAACACTTGGATTTGCTTTTCAATAGATTCTATTTATGCTGAACGTTTCCTTATTTCGTCTCAAATGCACTTGAAAGCTTTACACCCCCCTTCAATGATTTCATCGTGAGCTCAGAGTTTATTCTGTTTCTTTACTTGATGTTACAACACACCAAAGTGACTTGAGAAAATGCCACGTGAAAACAATAGGGAAAAATAACCCATAATCTCTGCTCCTTTATTTCAGTGTTTATGGAAACTGTTATGGCAGATGCACGTCAGAAGCAAATGCCCTTTTCATCTCCTATATTTCCACTGGAGCTGCTGTTTGGGACAAATTTGGTCTCTAGAACTGTGGTCTCTCTTTTTATTTCCAAACAGTTCTTAATATCTGTTTGTATCCGATTCCTGGGAAGCAGAGAGGGATACTGGACTGGGAAACACAGAATCATGGGATTGTTAAGGCTGGAAAAGACCTTTAAGATCATCGAGTCCAACATCAAACCCATGTTCACCACTAAACCATGTCTCCAAGTGCCACATCCACACATTTTCTCCCAATTTGCTGTTTGATGCACTGAAAGCTGCTCGTAATAGGGATGCATCTTTTATAAAAGGCTGAAAAATAATGTCTGGCTCCATTTCTCCATAAATCAAATGACACTTTAGTCATGGCTTAAGGTAACACTGGGTTGTCCTCGTGGCTTTTTGAATTCTTGACCCCATGACATGGACACAAGGTGCATTTTGGAACTTTTCTTCTCAGTTCAAAGATGAGAAATGTACTTCCAAAAGGAATTATAATAAAGAGATAAACTCATAAGTTAAATTTCTCCCGTAACCACTAAAACCAATCTGTGGTCATTATAAATTTATTGATGACATTAAATTAGATATTGGGAGGAAACTCTTCCCTGTGGGGGTGGGGAGGCCCTGGCACAGGTTGCCCAGAGAAGCTGTGGCTGCCCCTGGATCCCTGGAAGTGTCCAAGGCCAATTTTTGTAAAGTAAGAAAAGGCAAAATATGAACAAAAATGTTTCCACAATTTTTAGAAATTTTTAGAACAAGGATTTAATTACTTTTGAAATGTCTTTAAACAAGAAGAGGAAATCAAAACTTCTCTACTTGTGCTAAAAGGAAATGTATTAAGTGTATTTTTACCATTTTTTTTAAATTATGGTGAATTTGATAAAGACTAATTTATTTTCATAGATTTATGCTAAGTCATTATTATGAAATATATCTGGTTCTAAAATAGATCTATAAACACACTTAGCCCTTTTGCAATAGGCAATGATTTAAAAGTGTTCTCTCCCTTAGAAATCAAGGCAAATAGTAGGAAAATGGGGCCTCATTTCTTAGAAAAGTGTCCTCTAATAAGTAACAACAGAGATAAAAAGTGAAAGCATCTGTTCTGAGATTTTTTTTTTTTGCTGCTTGTAGCAGTAAATTTTTCTCGTGGATCCTGAAATGATAGTTTGAATTATTGAATATTGAATATTATTGAATTATGAGTTTGAATTATTTTGGATGGATTTTCTTCACTTTAAAATGTCTTCTTTTTTTTCAGATTACTATTGCGAATAAGCAGGTGCTGGGAAGTTTAATTACACCAGAAATAATTATATTATCCTATCCAGCATTCCTTAGATCACACTGCCCTCTACAGATACAAGCATTAGTTTTCAGTCAAAAAGCAAAACCACGCACTGGAAATCTGTTTAAGATCGAGAGCAAGAAAAGACTATCATGGGAAAAGTTTTAAGTCCAGCAGGGATTGTTTAGGGGCATCCAGAGACTTGGATAAGTGCAGAGAGACTTCAGAAAAATCGATTGTTTTTTCCTGAGCTGCATCCAGGGAATATTGGGGTTACAGGGGAAGCATCATTTCCTTCAGCCCTCAGTTGGGCTCAGAGAGGAGACTGGTTTGTCCCACACTGGGACAGCACTGGCAGGGAGTGGCTCACAGGGAATTCTGCTGCAATCCGAGATATGGATATGGGTCACTATTTCTTTTTGTTCCTGGTGGAGTAGTGAGTTGTGAGGTCATCAGATTTGGTGTAGTTGGAAAACAAGACTTGATAGTCCCAGTTTAATGGGCAGAAGCAGATGGTGGACAAGCATCACACCAAAGCAGAGCCACATAGAGGCTTCTTAGGGAGAAGAGCTGGGGAGGATGAGGGACAGGGAGAGGAAACCTGGGGGAAGGGGTTTGGGCAGGGGTTACAAGACACTGAGGGGATCACAGAATTGTTAGGGTTGGAAGGGACCTCAGGCATCACCCACCCAACCCTCCCCCCACCAAGGCAGGGTCACCTGGAGCAGGGGACACAAGCAGTCATCCAGGTGGGTTTGGGATGTCTCCAGACAGGAAGACTCCAGGCCCTTCCTGGGCAGCTGTTCCAGGCTCTGCCACCCTCCATGGAAAGAAGTTCTTCCTTGTTGTGTTTTAGTTTATGCCCATTGCTGCTCATCCTATCTCTGGGCACCACCTAAAAGGGTCTGGGACCATCCTCTTGGCACTGCCAGATGGGCATTTGGAATCTGTCTCTTAACATCCCATAAACTCTTTCCTTCCTGTATGAGTTGATGGGTGAAGGTGGGAAGGCTGGGATCAAACCTGGCCATTTGTCCCCTTCAGTGTTGCCTGGAGCCATTTCTATGCATTGGGACAGGGCCCTTCCAGCTCCTTTTTCCCCACCTCATTCTCCACTTGTTAAGAGCTTGAGTTACACTTGAGTTTGTGGTATGTTTAACTGGTATGTCCTGTACATTTTAAGTCCTTTGCAATCTCCAGTCCCTGGAGGAGCACTGGAAAGCCCATCAAAACTTGAGTTCTTAACTTCTATGTCCTGGGTTTTTTTTTTTTATTTCCTGTGTTCTGCACAGATCCTGATGAGTTTGAGAGGATCTATGAGCCACTGGATGTGAAGAGCAAGAAGATTCACATTGTGGACAGTGGGCTGACGTTTAACCTGCCGTACCCCCTCATCCTGAGGCCTCAGAGAGGCGTCGATCTCATCATCTCTTTTGATTTCTCAGCAAGGCCAAGTGATTCCAGCCCTCCTTTCAAAGTAAGTAAGACAGGCCATCCCCTCCTTTGGGGTCAGGAGCTCAAGTTGACTCAGTTGTATTCTTCCAGTTCTGTTGTTCCCACATTTCATGATCCCAGAAGGTGCTGCTGTAGCTACAACACTGGAATATTTCTTTCCACGTCAAGCAGAGTAGTGCCCTGTGTCTCAGTTCCTGTTTACATGACTTACATGGCACAACTAACACAAAGAAGGCTATTTCAAAGGAAGGAAATTCATTTGAAGTAGTTGTTTTTATGGAAATTTTGCTTTCATGCTGATTGCAGAGTTTTATTTTATGTCAGTATTAAACAATGAAGTCAGTTGGCCTTGCCCTGGTGCTCTAACTCTGTCCAGCTGCTCCCTGTGTGCTGTGATGTAAATGAATGTCATCATCCTGCAGAAATGCATCATCTTACTCACTCTGGTATTGCTAAATAAGCTTTTGGAAGCAGGGCTAGCTGTCCATTTACATCTCACTGGGATCATCCCAGCGCTGCTGTCAGCAGGATTCTTAAACAGCAACAGAAAAACAGGGATTAAATGACACGGTTGTTTTGTGTAGCAGGTGTGGAAAGCACAGCTGTGTCTGTACAACCTGTGCATCCACAGAGCTCCTTCTCACCCCAAAGGCTTGACATGGGATCATTTTGGTAACTGATGCAGAAAAAACAGCACTTCAGAGACTACTGTGAGGTTCTCACTTGGAGATATGGTTTAGTGGGCACAGTGGGGTTTGATTGAAGGTTGGACTTGATGATCTTGGAGGTCTTTTCCAAACTCAGTGATTCTGTGGTTCTCAAAACAGAGGCAATATTTATTTCAAAGAGGATTTCAAAAAGAATTTTCAAGGAAGCCCAGAAAACATTTCTGTTTGAAAAACAACTGACATTGCTTGTTGCTTTACAGACAAATTTCATTTAGAACAAACAGATTATTTTTTTCCTTCATCTTAATATTGAGGATGTTAGAAAATAACAGCAGCAGCAAAATGAGCTCGAGATCAGTGTTGTCAAATGCAAAGACAAACAAGTTTCAGGAGAATAAAAAGGAGTAATTTCTGTAATCTCTAAGTCTCTTGGGACTACTGGGAAAAACAGAGCACTGAGAAGACTCTTCCTAGTGCTGAGATCCTTACTTCCTTTTTTCCTTAATTTACTGAATCCCAGAGTGTTTCTTCCTTTAATATTCTATTTGCATAAGAATATATCTCCTTTTGTGTCATGAATATTTTCCCCATCAGCTAAATTTGCTGACACAGCGCTGCCATCTTCTCTGAAATCTCTTTTTCCCCCCTTTTTTAACATTCCACCCGTGGACCCTGTGCAAAAGGCTGTGTATAGTCATCCCTGTTACTCTTACCCTACACATTGAGCATTGTCTTCATCAGCAGCAATTTTTTGTGTCGTTTTGAGGAACATGGAGAGAGATTGGTTGGAAGTCGAGGTGACACCCTGAGGGGTTTTCTCTAAACTGTAGTTTTAAAAAGGCAAAAAAATCCTTTGATACAAGAAAAAATGGTGGGAAAAAGAAATGGTGTCTTTGTTCTCCTGAAGCCACTGTTGAAGGGAATGGAGTGTTGTTCCTGAGGCACAAAGAGATGTGGAAGAAGAAGAGGTGTAGTCCAGAGGCAGAGGCTTTGTGTTCATGGTTTCAAGGCCAGGAACCAGTTGTGTTTGCTGGCTCTGTGTCCCATTGGTTCTGCTTGCATTGCAAAGAGCAAATGCCACTTCAACAGTGGGCCTGTCTCTATGGTAGCACTAATATTGTACTTTTGCTGGGGAAATTAGCCAGCTGAGCTCAGTGACTCCACTCTTGGTTTATCATTTTGCACCCACTATCTTTTAATCTCCTGCGTATCTCAAACAGTCGCCTGAAGAAGGGTCCTGTTTCATTGAAAACCAAGATTAAAGTTGTTGACCTTCCTTCTCCTCCCTCTCACACACCCTCATTGCATGCTCTTGAGTCATTGTTTACAAATTATTTTGTTTACTGAGTTGTCATGAGGAAGAAAAAAGCCTGTTTTCCAGCTCTCTTCACCCGGTGTGCTTTCAAACGCCGCTCTGGGCTGTGATGTGACTCTGAGCACAACAATGCATGGCCTGGTGTTTGTGAACTCTCCTTGGTTTCCATAGTGCTGATACTCTGGTTGCAGGTCAAATTAGGGATGGTTTTCCCTCTGTAAAGTCACTCCAAGATTTGTGGGCCAGACCAGCTCTTTGCCTCCCATGAATCAGCACTGGTGGTGGAGGCTGAGAGGCTGAAGGAGGTGCTCAGTTTGCCACTTTGGGTAATCAATCAGAGGTTGATTTGATCAGTCCTTCATATCACAGAATCATGGAATGCTTTGGGTTGGAAGGGACCTCAAAGATCATCTCATTCCATCCCACCTTCCACTAGCCCAGGTTGCTCCAAGCCCCGTCCAACCTGGCCTTGGACACTTCCAGGGATCCAGGGGCAGCCACAGCTTCTCTGGCCAACCTGTGCCAGGGCCTTACCACGCTCACAGCCAAAAATTCCTTCCCAATATCCCATCCTGCCTTCTGGCAGCTTGAGGCCTTTCCCCCTTGTCCTGTCCCTCCATCAATCTGTAAACAATCTCTCTCTGTGTTTCTTGTAGCCCCTTCAGGCCCTGCAAGGCCACAATTAGGTCACCCTAAGCCTTCTTTTCTCCAGGCTGAACAATTCCAATTCTCCCAGCCTTTCTTCATTGGAGACATGCTTCATCCCTCTAATAATCTTGGTGCCTCCTCTGGACTTGCCCCAGCAGGTCCCTGTCCTTCCTGGGCCCTGAATAGTTTATTAATTGCTTCTACCAACCAGTTTGCCCCATCTCTCTCTCCAAACCTCCTCCCTTTTCAGTGGATGCTTTCATACACCTGAATCTTTGTATCTTCTCAGGAAATTCTGCTGGCTGAGAAATGGGCTCGAATGAACAAGCTGCCTTTCCCCAAAATAGACCCCAATGTGTTTGACAGAGAGGGCCTGAAGGAGTGCTATGTGTTCAAACCAAAGGACACCTCTTCAGAGAAGGACTGTCCCACCATAATCCATTTTGTCTTGGCCAACATCAACTTCAGGAAGTACAAAGCTCCAGGTGAGCACAGTTTCTGCTGCTGAATCCCTGTTCCTTTGGAATGACATGGTGGTTATGCACCACAAATGTTTTGGCTCTCAGATAACTCCCAAGTGCGTCTGCAGTCCTGAGGGAATCCAAAAGAGCCATTCCAAAATCAGGTGGCAAATGATCAGACCTAACATTTCGGTGGTGTTTTTGTGTTTGTTCTGTGCAGGCGTTCCCAGGGAAACACAGGAAGAGAAGGATTTTGCAGACTTTGACATTTTTGATGATCCAAATACACCTTTCTCTACCTTCAACTTCCAATATCCCAACGAGGCTTTCAAGAGGCTCCATGACCTGATGGAGTTCAACACCCTCAATAACATAGATGTATGTTGGGAGGGTTTAAAGATTGTTCAGTGGGGGAGTGGGTGATGTGAGTAAAACCCTAAATATTCCATACAGGCCTTTGCTTCAGTGTTTGCCTGACTTTCTCATTTGGTTCTTGTCTTGTTTTTGCCATTTCACCATCCCAAGCCATTCAGAGTAACTGAGCCAAGGAGACTTTGGGGGGTGGAGACAATATGTTCAGGATTTTATACTCAGATTTTTAAGCATGTTGATTTTTCTAACTGGAAAAAGAGGAAATTGGAAAATTCTTTATCAGTTGCTGATTAAGAGTTATTACTGATTTCTTTATCAGTTCTACTTCTAACTCAATAATAATTATTTGTAATTGATAGTAGGTGCAACACAACATAGTGATGCCAACATCTGTAGAGTGACAAGTGTAAATGATCACCCCAGATAAAGGCACAGGGAGGGGGGTATCAATATAGTAAAGAAAATGGTTACATCAGGACAAAGGAAGCAAAAGTAAAGATTTAATCATTCTCAATATTATTTTTTCTTTATCCTTTTTGTAATAATAATAATAATAATAATATTCTGTAGTTATTTTTATATCCTTTAAATATGGATTTTCTCAATGCTTTGATTTACTCTTCTGAATTTCATTGGGACTCAAGTGTAAATGCTGTATTTACACTGATTTTTTTTTTACACACATTTTTGTGTGACTTCTTTGACATTGGTGGCTCCCTCATACCTATATTAACTACATTAAAATAAATGTTTTATACAGTCAAGTAATAGCGATTGATGAGTTTTATTAAAAATACTTTGTTCAGTGGTGGAGCAGAGTTAAAAATGGAAGCAAGAGTTGTTCCTATCAGAAGGAGCTTTTTCTGTCAGTTAATAAATATTTGTCGTGTGGCTTCTTTGACATTAGTGGCCTCCCTCATACCTTTGTCAACCACATTAAAATCAGTGTTTTATCCAGTCAGGTAATAGTATTTTTAATAGAATTTATCATTTTCAATGGAGTTAAAAATGGAAGCAAGGATTGTTATCAGAAGGGGCTTTTTCTGTCAGTTAGTAAATATTTGCCATGTGCTTTGACATCGGTGGCCTCCCTCATACTTTTATTAACCACATTAAAATCAGTGTTTTATCCAGTCAGGTAATAGTATTTTTAATAAAACTCATCATTTTCGAAAGTGGAGCAGAGTTAAAAATGGAAGCAAGAGTTGTTCCCATCAGAAGGGGCTTTTTCTGTCAGTTAACAAATATTTGTTGGGTGACGTGACGTTGTTGGGTGACGTGACGTTGTTGGGTGA